AAAAGCACCTTTGGGTGTATTCCTTCTAGTCATCCTCATCACTTTGTTTCATCTAGCCATTCACACCACTGCCTATTAACAGGGCTCTGGAAATCTGTCCTAAACTGAGGTCTGCAATAACTAAACTCAAAGTCTTTGATAAAACTTAAATTCTGCAGCTCATTAAATCAGCATTAGATCACTTTGCATAACAAAGTCCTTTAGAAAAACTTTATGGTTCCTATAACTTACATAAACGCACAAGTGGTGAAAAGAAACTTGTTAAAGGTTCTTGGCACTTCAAACAATTTATTTTTAATTGCAGACATACAGATTTCCAGAGTCCCCACTAATGGGAAAAGAATATGGTTCTTGTCTCTCAACTCATCATTTTTACTACATTACTATTTCTTGCTAACTGAAGTTCTATAAAAAATGAAATATTTCCCACTTAAATTGCTAAATGCTTTTCAAAAGAAAAATATTATAACCAGCATTTCCAATAAATGGCTGGGCAAGTATGCCCACAAAGTTTTTAGCCCAGGCCTTTTTGCATGTATTTTTCAGTTAGGATCTCCTTTGGTTGAAATTCAAGAACTTTTATTAACTTAGCTGAAGTTTAATTCATCAGTATAGATACTGATAAATCCATTCGCCAATAATTTATTATTTTTAACTGTTGATTATTTTTTACTCTTAAAGTTATAGCTTTTCCACTAGTTAGTTACCTTCTCTAACAAAAATGAAAAGTACCTTTTTTCAGTTTACATTTTATCTAGTTTCAACTTACTACACTGGAAGATTTTATTTTTTTTCTATCTGCCAGAGAGTTTTCTTCATATATTACCATAATTTCTTTGTACATTAGGTAGTATTTTAATTGCATGAACTCCAAGTTTGAATAATAAGCATGAGGTGGTATTTTCAAAGGGCTTCTCCTTATAACAATGTTGTTACTTTCAGCTAATTGATAATTGGGTCAACTCCATCATAAAGGTATCCAAGACCCTTTCTCTCCAGTCCTACTTTTTCCCCATCTGCTAATTAAATTTATTACAGATCTCTAGAGCCTTCTTGTAGACCTGAGTGACATCATCCATGTCTGTAAGAAGAGAAAAACTATCACTTGTCCGATTTCGGTAGCGCTTCAGGTACTGTGGTCGTGAGCGGTTTTTTTGAAGTCCTTGGAAATCTTGGATCTGGAGGAAGTTTTCAGCAGACACACAGCTTTTTATTTTAAGTTTGTTCTCTTGCAAGTCTACCAAGTCAAAAGAGTCACTGGAAAGAATGCTGTCATCACTAATCACACTAGAAGGGCGACTGTAACTTCGAGATAATCCATCTACAGCCAGACCTGCTTCCTCCATGCCTTTCGTGACTGGTCTATCAGAATGGATCAAAGCTGAATGTGCAGTAGTGGTGGAATACTTGCTACTGTGTTTTAAAATACCCTTCCGTCTGTAGGAATGACTGTAAGACTCTATCCTTAACGTTTCGATGATATTTGGGGATGTATCACTGTTTCCTACCTCCTCATTATGATTCAGGAGTTCTGAAGATTCACTCCGTTCTGGAGATGAGTAGTATCCCGATTCTCTTTGCTGAGTCTTCTTGAGGATTCCCTTTTTTGGCATTAAAGAAGACTGCTTAGTGCTGTATTTACCCGTTATATCCCCTTCCAAAACACTCTTAATTGGCATACCTGTTCTACATAATTCCTGTTCTTTTTTAAAAGTGGAGGGCAATACTGGATTGACTACTCCTTCTATGAATCCTGCACTGTGAGATCGATGTTCACTATTGCTCCTCTTCTTCAAAATACCTTTTGGCCTCTTGGAATTTAATTTGCAGGAGCTGTCAACTCCTTCTTGGATAGACTGTGCAATGTCATTTTCCTTCTTTGATTTTTTGAGGGATCTCTGTCTCTCTAAATGGACTTCGGATCCTTTTGGTTTAGAAAGGCACTTCATTTTGGTCTCAGTCTCTGGCTGGAGGCCACTGGATCGATGATGCCAGTCTATGAATCTAGACAGCAGAGGGGACTCAGAGTCTTGCAAGGCATCACAATCACAAACAGTACTCTTATAGCCCCAGTTAACCCACCAGTGGTTGGCAATGTCTTCAATGGTTGCTCTGCGCTCAGGATTCACCATCAGCATCCATCTGATCAGGCCGCGAGCATCTATTAACAAATAATATACATTAAAGACTTTTGAGCTTAAGATTTTACATTAATACAGAATCTAACATATAATGGATAGTTGCAAATGACACGAAAATTACGCAGGGCAGTATTTTGGCCTGGAAGAAAGGGATTAAGTAGATAGGTAATTGACTGATAGATTTCCTAGGGGTAGATTCCTGGTACAAACTGACACTAAATTACTTTTCCATATCATGAAAATGGTACATACATAATATTTAATAATACCGGTCTGTTTTTTCCCCCAAGGTTGCTGAATGAATATAGTAAAGGGAAGCACATATGAAGAAACACAGATTCAGAAAATCTATCAATTTTTGCATGTAGATTGTAGGGATAAAAGCAAATGACAATCCATTTCTCAATATATATCTATAGGAATATTTATTATGTAAATATTTATCAGTAGTTTTAAGTGTTTTAAGACTTTCCTGAACAACTATACAAATCTTAAATTTAATCTGCTTTTTAAAGGAAAACAACCTGAGTTGCACTCTGGAGGCTAATATGTGAGATTTATCTTTCAGTAAAATTAGAGTTTGTAATAGAATGTATAAAAATCAAAACATATATATTTGTCAAATATAGTCTACTTGGAGACTGACTGCATATAAGGAATGTATATTTGTGTGTGTATGAGAGAAAGCCTATGTATTATTTCTAATAGCTAAATGCATATAACCTGGAATACAACTAGTCCAATTCTTCTACCTTTAACCATCAGATTTACCATCTCCGTGAGAACAATGTTAAAATATTTGGTAGATCTTTGGTGTTCCCATGTCAAACCAAATGGTGCCTTTAATTTTTCAGCCTAGTTTTTTAATTGCTGTCATCAACCTCCTTCTGTATTTTTAAGAAATTGTGAAAGACTTGTTGATGGTCAACATAGGACTAAATTCTTAAGCCAAAGTTTGCTCTCCAAAGTCTTTTTTTTTAAATTCACACACATGTGCACACCCATACACACACACACACACACACACACAATTCTAATGGCTGAAATGAATCTCTATCAAGTAACACTTTGTAGCTTCCTTGTAAAGACTAAGAGACTTTTGACTATCACCTAGTTAGCTGAAACAAATTTGAAACAAATTCACTGTCACTCAGATTTGCTATGACACATGAGAGAAAAAAAGCAGATATGTCTTGGTCAGTGTTTAGGACATTAGACATTATGATCAGCAGCAACATTTCAACAGAAGTCCATGGCAATAAATCTGTTGTGGCCCGACAGCAGCCAGCAGAGCTGGCAGCAGATTCGGACAGTGGGGAGGTTGGGGAGGAACATGGGCCAGTCCTGGAGTCTGGGGAAGGCTCTGACAAGTGCTCTGCGTTGGAGGCAGAGATGGGGCCGGGGCCATCTGACAGTTATCAGCTGCCTTCAGAGTCAGACATCAGTGAGGCAGAAGAGCTGGAGCCTGTTTCCAGTGTGCATATGTGCAGAATTGCCAGAAGAAGGGAACAGCTGAGGAACAAGGGCCGACTTGGGAGTAAAGCCACAGGTGGATGGTGAATGGCCCCTCCCATAGGGAATAAAAGAGAATGAAAGGGGAGTGGGGCTTTGCAGGAGACAATTAGTTCCTTCCGGCATGCTTGCCAAGTATTGCAGGATCTGAAAGATATCGGCCTGGCCATGCTCCAAGCCTGATAAAGGTTTGTAATTGGGAACTATCTTGAAAGACTGTAGGCCGGAATTTTGTTGGAGAGGAAATTCATTGTAAATCAAATAAAAGGTTTCATGCTGTTGGGGAAGCCTAGGTCAGAACAAAATGACCTGGCAATCAACATTTTAAGAGGGAAATTGTAATACAGTTCAATCTGTCTTCAAACTATCTATTATAGGAGTTCTGCATTACAGAAATAAAGAATTGAATAATGTTTGGCCAGTAAGTATTAGATATAAAATTAGAATTTAGTTTCAAGTCAATATCTCATAGACATTGTTAGAACCTAGGTACCCCAAGACTGTGAGAAAGAAATTAAAACGGGTCACAGAACAGGCAAACTGCTTATTGGTGATTGTTGCTTTAGACAGATCTTCCTCAAACTTCTCACAATACCCTTTGAAAATCAAAAGCATCCAGATAGCCTTTGATGCAAATTGAGAATCCTTAGTTTGTATTGCAGTATTTCTGTTTTATCCATCCAACTCCTCCACATAGCAAACATCAGAAAGGATGTAAAACAAGCCATTAGAAACCCCTATTATGTCAATGCACCATGCATGACACATCTTTTGATACCTGAGGGCTGTGTTGGCTCACGATATTCTCCACTACTGATCTGCCTGATCAGATTTTTGTGATCAAAGCCATCAAAGGGCATTGTTCCATAAACCAGAGTATAAAGTAAAACACCAAGAGCCCAGCTGTCAACCTAAAGCAGAAAGATAAGAAACATAAGGAGTAAAATATGGTGACTCCTGAAGACGCTGAAATTACTAAAGAAACAAAACATCCATCTACCATTATTTAAAAAGGTATAAGTATTCTGTAGAAAATACATCAATGAAGAATGAAAACAAGACTTTAAAGTATCTTGTATGCAAAGATTATTACTTTTTGGATTATCAAAAAAAAAAAAAAACATTTTCACCGAATTCCATACACACAGAATATTTACACAAACCGGCTATATAAAATGAATTAATCAATACATAAATTTATATTTTTCATTCCATTTTTAAAAAATGTTTATTTCTTCTGAATTTTGTTTACCTCTGGTCCTCGATAAGGTCTTCCGTTAACAATTTCAGGAGATGCATATAGTGGACTTCCACAGAAAGTCTGGAGAAATTTATCCTTCTGATAAAGATTTGAAAGACCAAAGTCTGCAATCTGTAAAGACAAATTTAGAAGCGGTTGGCTATGGATAATATGTAACATTAATACAAGCCTTTTTTCCATTCTGTTTCTTTCTTAGTTTCAGAATAGTAGCATGAGGAGTTTATAACAGCTGTTATATTTCTTTTAATTCTGGTTTTCAATTACATTATATATTATATTATATTTCAGTTATATAAAGCATGTGTTATTGTATTAGTAAAACATCCATGCCAAAATGCATCTTCTTTTATTTGTTTTTCATGGGCAACTCAAATGTACATGTATATTATGAATAAAATAAACATTGGAACCATATAGCACATATTTGTAATGCTAAAAATATTTTCATGCAAAATAATTTATGCTTGCATACATATCATACTGCTAATTGAATAAAAATAGTGGTTAGAGGCTGCAAAATATTTTTGAACAGTTTTGAAAAATTGGAAAATAAAAACTTAGAATGAAAATGACTTTCTAATATTTTGTTCTGGCCTTTTGGCTGCCAGCAGAGATAGCTGCAGAGTCAGGAGGTTGGAGGAGGAGGAGGAGGAGGAGGAGGTGGTTGAGGCAGAGCCTGGGCCAGCTTCAAAGCCTTTGGAAGGCTCTGATAAGGAAACAGCACCAGAGACAGAGGCACAGCCAGGGCCTCCGTCCTCCCCCAGGTGGAGAGAAAGCTGTCTTTGGGGCCTGACCTGAGTGAGAGGGAGGAACAGAAGTGGGCCATCCCAGATGCGCATATGGAAAGGAGAGGAGAGCAAAGGAGAGGAGAGCAAAGGAAAGCAATAAGCTGGCTCTCAGGGATACACATATTTCTGGCTCACAGATGATAGCCAGCCCCTCCCTGGCTGGGAAATAAATAGGAGGTGTTTGGGAGTGGAGACAACCATTTGTTTCTAATATACAGCAAGCAATTCATATTTATTGGATAAACCCAGGTTTGTTGGGACCAATTACATTTGATTTTTTGTTTATCCCTGTGAATAAAAGACTATTACTGCCCTATTATAAAAAGGGGTTGTTTTACTTGTGAGTAAACATCTTATCACTACTTGCAAAGGCTGGGTCAAAACATATTTGGGGTCTTTCTTGGAGCGAAGCAATTTAGAAGTCTAGTTGATCCAAATATGTGCTTAGAAATAAGAAAGAATGAGAAGATTCCCAAAGTTACCATTAAATAAAATTTGGATGAATGACAAGGTGGGATAAAAATCCAATGAATAAGAATATAGAATAATAGAGTTGGAAATGACCTTGGAGGTCTTCTAGTCCAACCCTGTTTGAGCAGGAGACCCTATACCATTTCAGAATAAATAAACTCCAGCTTGTTTGGGAGAAACTCTATTCAATAGCAAATAAGAGGTCACACAAACAGAGGGAGGATCACATTGGTCACCTCCTGTATTTGAAATTTTGAGTCTTTGGGGCTTAGTGTTAGTGTTTAGTCACAGCAATCTGTGTCCCTATAGAACAGGAGTGTCAAACTCAAGGTCCATGGGCCAGATCCGGCCCACAATATGGTTGGATCCGGCCTACAGGGCTGTCCTGGAAAATGTAAGGGGCTGGCCTGTATCACTTCAGCCCAGTCTACCCAGTGCGAAGAGGAAAAACGCCAGCAGTTTGGGGAGTGGCATTGAGCTGAACATGCCCACCCAGTTGGCCACACTGCCTGACCCCCCATAGGTCAACCACAGCCCTGATGCAGCCCTCAATGAAACTGAGTTTGACACCCCTGCTATAGAGGAAAAAATAAATAAAACCAGGGGAAGAGTATTCTTTCAATTTCAGAACACTTGTATCTTGTAGGCTAATGAAATATGAACACTTTTTACCTCATACTGGCAAGGTTTCTACAATCCTCCCCTCTGATTTATCAAAGTAGATAGAAATGTTGCCTTCTCTACAGCATATAAATTGACAGGGTCATTTGTCCAAGTGGCCTACTGTTTTATTAAAGTGTTCTGTGAATTTAACATGCATTCCTAGCAGGAGATAATTAATCAGTATCTACTTCTTGAACAATATGATGGAAAGTATACTAAACTAATGATTGAATGTGGTGGAAAGTCCTACTCTGAAGTAAGAAAACTGCATAGGTGGGCTATAGGACATTTTCCAGGCTGTGCTTTTTGATATTTCATTACAAGGACATTACAAGACAAGCCAGTAGCTATATTTTATTTATTTATTTTATTTGTTTGTCAAACATGACAAGATAACAAGTATAGGTATGAACATAAACATGAAGAAAGGAAGTAAATACAGATAAATGGGGACAGTAGGACAGGGACAGTAGGCACACTGGTTCCTGATGCACACCCCCTTTAAGGACCTCTTAAGAATAGGGTGAGGTCCATGGTAGACAGTTATATTAGTGAATTCATTTCAAAATAAATGTCTCAATTCATGTTTTGGAATTGCATGCAGAAAGAAATCCTAGAAAAAAAGTCCCTGTGTAAAGCCTTCACTGTATGTCTCAAATCCCATTAGAAGCAGCTGATGTAGAACTTCAGTCTGCAAATTTTAAAAGTTCAGTTTGCAGTTAATTTCCTTAAGTTCTTATCAAATCACTCTGAGGAGTTTGCTGGAACTTTATCTTGAGCTCATAATCACAACTCCATGAATCAGTAGATTTCCTTTACTTAGAGAGACTGTTCTGACATTCATTGTACAGTTTATTAAGACAATCTGTGGTCTTATTGTCCTACAATCTACAAAATACATGGGCAAATGGGTGTATAAAGTTTAAATCTCAAACTGGCTCCAAAGCATTTTCATTTTTGACCTTCAGGAAAAAGTGTTTCTATTTCAGCCAACTCCTATATTCACAAGTTTATCAGATTTTCTAGTTAAAACTGACATTTCCCCTCCCCCTCTGTGGAGAACAAAATCATAGTAGCCAAGATTCCTTCAAGTTCTTCTCACTTAAACAGAGCCAAAGAATTCAAATGTTTCCCAAATAGGGAGGGGTTGCTAAAAAACCAGATGCTGTATTCCCTTATCCTCAAGGAAATGATTGTTTCCACTACTTATATTAAATGTGATGAAATTTACTCACTGAATATGATGCTTATACCTTCTCCAATATTTGAGCTTAGGGTAATCTGAATTAACTCAAAATTGGATGGAACGTAAGTTTCATACTCCATGAGTAAATTTCATTGTATTTGTAGTGTAAAGGAACATTTTTAAGGGAACAATTTCAGCTTAACCTAAATTGTAATACTGGAGAAAGCACTAGCTTTAAGCTTTATACTCAGTGAGTAAATTGCTCAGCAAGTCAAATTTAAACAAATAATATTAAGAAAACAATTTAAAAAGAGGTAGTCCTAAGCACTGTGAAAATGGAGAAATATAAGACTATAGGTGTAGATGTGTACTGTATATGTACAGAAATTTCAAAATAGGACTGCATTGTCCTGTTGGACAAATGATTGCATTGTTCCACTATATAAATGGAATAATAGCAAAATTGAATCCAAGATTAAAGGGGTTTTGGCTAGAAAGGGATTTTACAACTAAAAGAGTGCAAAGAGTAACAAAACAACTTTTGGTTTTATATGTAATCATCAACTTTATATATAGTCCTCACAATTGGGACCAGAATTTCTGTTGCTAGGCAAGGCAGTTGTTAAATAAGTTGTGCCCAATTTTGTGACCTTTTTTTGCCACAGTTGTTAAAAGGATCACTGCAGTTGTTAAGTAAATATGGCTTAACTATGTAGGTCACTGGGAAAGTTATTTTTCATACCTAGTTCAGGTACTGGGCCATTGGGAATAAACTAAGCAAAGTTTCATTTTTTTCCTCTTGAAATTCACATTACGAAAAATACATAATGGGAGGGAGAAAGGGAAGAGGCTGTAAGAGAGATGCCACATAACCGAAGGTGACTCCTTCTCTAGCAGACATAACAAATTTGTCCGCTTTCAGACTGGGAGAGAGAGAGAGAGAGAGAGACAGGGAGGGGAATTCAATGCGTGTTGGACAAGACCCATCAAATGTACTTACATCTTTTACAATGGAAAAAGAGACAGAAGCAGAAGGAAGACGGTTTCCATCTTACATTTCTTACAAGGAAGTAACAGATATGGTGAGATCCCACAAAGGGTATCTTGGAAGAGGACTGAATTCAATTTCCATGATTAGGAAGAAAGATTGTTGCCAGAAGGGTTCTGGTTTTGGCCAAATTATTTTGGGGAATTATGATTTATATATAAAAAAATACAAACCTCATTTCAAACATCAAGAGGAAAAAAAAATCTAGGCAATAGTGCAAAAACCAAACACTGGTCTATCTCTCAGAGCACACTGTCAAAGGCTGCCAGTTTTATTATAATATAGTATTATCAGTTATATATCCATGACATAAAAAGCACTGGCTTGTATTATGTTAAAATTACACTTTAATAAAGGTTTTATGATTTTCCCCCCACAAAAGGGTATCCTTCTATAGACTTCTATGGAAAAAATATATACCCCAGAGTATCTTAAAACCATCTAAATGCATATAATGTACATTTTTATAGGATCCCAGTCCACATTGTGATACTGAAAAAATGTGTTTCATGTATATGTACATACTGTATAATGTGAGAGGAGAAGGAGAGAAACAGAAAACATAGGTAGAAATATAAAAGGAGAGATGAGAAGCAAGAATCACAATGACCTTGAAGCAGTGGTTAGCTGTGACAGAGGCATTCATGTATTGAAGATAAGAAACATCAGACTTTGTTTAACTCACAGAAAAGGTAGAACTTTTAATGAATTCTCATTCAATTTTTTCATAAAGAATTTAATTCGTAGAATACAATGTTTCATTATGCAATTCTTTGTTCATGCTAACACAAATACAAGAATCAAATACTAGGCACAGCCCTCAACTTATAACAGGGGTGTCAAACTGGCGGCCCACGGGCCAGATGCGTCATGCACAGTCCACACCCACCCCAGCTCCGTGAATGGGAAAAACATCGCGATACACATGACAGCAATGTGACGCAGTGAGTTTGACACCCGTGACCTATAAGAAAGCCAAAATGATGATATGTATAGTAATATCACAATGTAAAAGCCACCATTCTGTGTTTGAGCCGCAAATTCTGATGCAACTACATAGGTTGCTACATTTAGATGATGACACCAGGCACATTTTATAATTTGCCCACCTGCTCTCTGCCTCATCCATGTCCTGAAGCAGATTCCAATGTTACTTCCACCAAATAACTGCCTGAGAAACACTAATATTACTCAGAACCTCAAGGGACTTTCATAGGAAGAACCTTACAATTACTAGTAGTTCAATGTAATATATACAATCAATATCTATATATACCTTATATTAGATCACATGGAGTCTGGTAGCATCTTTCAAGTTATCACATTTTATTTAACGGTATAAGCTTTTATGAACTACAGCTCATTTTACCAGATGCATCTTCTATTCGTCTCCTACACTAGGGGTATAAACTTGATTTCATTGAGAGCCACATTAGGGTTGTATTTGACCTCGGAGGGCCAGGGTGGGCATAACCAGTTTGATATCACTCATATCAGGGCACCTGTGGTGGCCCAAGCCTTCTGCCAGTGAAAATGGCCTCCCAAGCTCCATTTTTGGCTGCAATGGCTTCCTGCAATCCTCTGCACTGCAGACTGGCCCTTTGCTGTTTCCAGGGCAGCCCCGTGGGCCAGATCTAAGCACACCATGGGCCAGATTCAGCCCTTGGGCTTGATTTTGACATCCCTGTCCTCTATATTGGATAAATTGATCAATCCCTATGGAATATATGCAACCAAATCTGACAACCAAAATAGCAATTTTACAATGAAATACAATAAATGTGTGATATATTTAATAATACATTTCTTGGACTTTCATGAATCACTAGAATCCATGTTGTATGGAAAGAATTATTACTAAGAGTGTTTCTTAGATATGGACCAATACCACTCATTAAGTATTACATATATTTGAGGAAAAAGGGATTTATTTACATTCCAAGTACCACTAATGGGGTTCTTAGATGATATGCCAATTATAGTTATTGACCAGGTTGGGATCTGTTTTATATCACCCTGGTTACAGCATCATGTGCTTTCATGCTATACCTTAAGGAACCTGATCCAATATAAGAAAAATCTTTATTATATAATTATAATATTATATAATTAAGCATACTTAGAAGTTTAAACAATGGAATGTGGATTTTTGGAACCAGGAAGAGTTTCCCATAAAAGCATCACGTAGCTTGTATCTTAGCCATCCCTTTTTTCCAAGAAGAATGAAAAGGTCATTCCCATGCTTTTACTAAAGATTTTTGACATAGTTATGACATCACCAAAAGCTAATCTGAAAGCTATCATTGTGCCTGGAGTTCTAAGGCCACTTCCTAATGAAGGGCATGTGCTCTGCTTGAGTTTATTTTGAAAGTGGATTTGCTTATTTTTCAGATGCAATCAAAGGAATGTTCAGAGGGTGAAATAAGCACTTGAAACCTGTAAGCCAAAAAAGTGTGCATGGTCCCAGCAGCCAGCAAAAAAGTCATCTGTAAAATACATTATCTTGCGAAAGGGATCTACTAACCTTTGTGTTGATTGCTGTTATTGCTTTTTTAAAAGGGAGGAAAACTACTACTTTAGTTTTAAAGTAAATAAAAGTCTTAATTCATTTTTAAATCATCACAAAGATAGTCTGTTTATTCTGTAAACAGATGCTTCAAAGTAGCAACTTTGATAAAAAAATGTTTAAGGCAATATATATTTAAAGATTATGAAGGCTGTTTACCTTGATGTTACAATTGTCATCAAGAAGAATATTTTCCAGTTTTAAATCCCTGTGAACGACACCATTCTGAAAGAAGAAATAAAGAAAACATGCAGATGAATATAAAGGAGATTCTAGAGGAGCGGGGTTTAATATTGACTGGATTAAAGAAGCAAAGCATCAGGGTGGTCTTTGCATTTACACTTCAGTCATAACACTAGTAACTAGTGACAGGAGATGCATTAGTCACTTGCTGTGTGGTTAGGAGAAGAATGACTGGAATTTGTCCTCCCACAAAGCCTGTAAAACAGCAGGGGAACTCTTTTCGGAACTTAATCCCAACGCCAATCTGCCCCTCACAATGTAAAAGTAATATATTCTTCCCAGGCATTAGAAAACAATCCCTATCAAGGTATGTTAGTACAGTACTTGCAAAAGGCCCAGTAATTCTAGCTGCTAGCCTTTTTAGGCATGATGACTTATACTGTACCCTTCAAAGGCTGCTTCAATATGAGCCTGAAATCTCATAACTTCTTCAAATTCATTAATATTAAAATTATAAAAGTAAAACCTACAATCTGTGTGTTTTAAGTGGTTTTGTGTATTTCATGCTATGTTCCCTGCAGCATAAATTAATCCTATTGGAACCACTTTCATAACAATATAATCAGCCTGGAGCGTCTCTTAATATGCCATTATTATGCAAGGACAACTTGCAGGGATTCTTCTGATCTTGCGAACTCTGAAGGTGTGGACAGAGTTTTTGGCAGCATGAGCTCTCTGGGTGGACCCCAGGCTGCACTAGGCTCCTTCAGGAAGGTAGATAGGGTGATTGCATGTGAATTTGAGAGGGATTGTGCTTCTTGTCTTGAAGATTGTGGTATACCCCTTCCTGAAGAGGACACTTTTTCATCTCATCATTTTGGATAAATCCTGTACAGTTTCCAACTTTCCCTTCTTGCACAGAAGCTAGAAATAATCCTGAAGCTCAACCCTTTCACAGTTGAGCTTCAGACCTAGGCATGAGATTGAAACTGAAGTGGTCACTCTTATGAAACACTGTTTTACAGCCCTCTCTAAGTGGCTTAGAGTCAGCATATTGCCCCCAACAATCTGGATCTTCGTTTTACCGACTTTGGAAGGATGGAAGGCTGAGTCGGTCTTGAGCTGGTGAGACTCAAACTGCCAAACCACTAGTAGCTGGCAGTCATCAGAATTACATGAAACTACTGAAAGAAGATACAGGTAGTCCTTACTTACTTATCACAACTGGCAACTCCATCTCTAAGTAATACAGTCATAATATGAAACATGACTGAATCCAACTTACATCACTTCCGGCTGCAGTTTTGAAGCAAATAACCTCAACATCACGTGACCACTACTTGCAATTTCCTGCCAGCTTTCCCATTGTTTATGCGAAGCTGGCTATGGAGGTTGCAAATAGTGAACCTGTGACCACAGGAGACTTTGACTATTCTAAATGCACACTGATTGTGTTCAAGCACCCAAATTGGCGATCAGGTGACCATGGGGATGACGCGACAGCTGCAGGTTTGAGGTTGTAAATCTCATTTTTCAGCAGTGAGTAAGCAAATTGGTCAGTTCAGAATGAGGTATCATTTTATTGGACAGGAAAAGCAGTGGAAACAATGGAATGAAACAAAACAGACTGAAACTGAATTTTTTAAAAGATGGAGTTGCTATTTGTCTAGAACCCAACTTGCTTGAAAGAGAGGCCTACACTAAATTGAAACCTATTTTTAGTTGCTCTGATATAATTTCATCTTACAGTCTGAAATCGGGTATGAAAGGAAGTGCACATAATGCAAAGATTATCACCACACACCTCCAAATATTTTTTACTCACCTTATGACAATAATGAACTGCTGAAACAATTTGCCGGAAAAAGTGTCTTGTCTCCCTTTCATTTAGCCTTCGCCTCTCACTGATGTAATCATACAATTCCCCTTTACTTGCATATTCCATGATGATCACTATTTTATCTTTGTTCTCAAATACTAAGATAAAATAGAAACAAATACTTTTATTATATTGATGAATTAAATACAAAATACTCATATACACTTATAAGTAATCAGAGCTAGCATCTTCTAATGTAGAGAAGCACAAATTACTCAGTTTCAAGTCAAGAGCAGTTTCATGTTCTTTCTTAATTTATCATTTTTGCAGTTTAGAAACAGAATTAGGCACATTTTTAAAAATTTAAAATACTTTTAACAGTTTATAATACTTTGACATGTTTTTCACAATTCTAAGCATATCTTCTATCAAAATATGTATTTCAAGAAAATTTTTGTCATAGAGTAGATACTAAGGTATTATAAACATCATACCTTATAAATACTCTGATACAGTTTTGAACCATAAATTGAAACAAAGGATTTAAAATAGTGAAAATTAATTCCAATCTTCCTACTAATCAACAGATAGTGTTTCAATGCAAATACAAATAAAAATTCAGTAACATTTTCCCATAATGTTTCCCTAGGTTCTTCTAGTAACCTCATAAAAATTGTTGCGACTACATTTTTTTCTCATTTTCATAAATATAAATAGGCATTTTATTTGAAGGCCTGTTTTTAATTAGGAAAGAACAAGCAAAAAAAGAGAAAGATATTGTGAATAGGGAGAAAATGTTTAATAAATAACTTTGATCGCCACAGGTAACCAATCAAGTAATTTATATGAGCTGCAGAATTTGCTTCAGGAATATGATAAACCAACAACACAATATTTAATACATTTCCTTCCTTGCTTAATAAAAAATATGAATTTCCCACTTGGAGCACAAATGAGGTCTGAAACTGAAATCACACCTTTTTCTTGGTCATGCTGCCATTAATAGAGAAAAATGGATTACTATTAGCAATCAACATGTAATATGAAACTTACGCAGTCGGTTGATGCTCTTTTGAAGAGGAGTAAATAGGTAAAATATAAAATAATGTGTGCTGTGGATAAATTATGTCACTTATACAAAAATAAGGAAGCACAGTATCCAGTGAGCTCTCGCGCTTGACATATTCTGCTTGCCTTGCCTGTCTTCATGATCCAGGTTTTCACTATGGAATAAGTGTGTATTACTATGTCAAGGAAAATGAATATGCTATTAAAATTAAATGTGTGGATATTCAAGGCCAATGAAATCTTTAACTATGCATAGAGCTTTGGGGTTATGCGTCACACAGACAGTTTCATAACATTTCACAGGCAACTGGCATCTTCAGAGGCTGTGTGGTACATAATCCCAAAGCTCTATGGAGTTATGCGTCATACAAACCACCTTGCCTCTGAAGATGCCAGCCACATTGCCTGTGAAATGTCAGGAAACTGGTATCTGAAACTCAACACGGTCCAATAGTTAAAAATGAATTAAATTTCTATTCTTTCCTATTAAAATCTAAATTTCAAGCTTCATATAGTATTAGTTATACTATAACCAATTCTGGTATAACTATTTGGAATGCTTGGCTCACTGTGTTTTTGCTCCATTTGATTTATGACCTGTCATCATAATGCAGATTATTCTAAATCCGGGACAGCTTCTATTTAGGCTCTGTGCTGTTGCTACCACCAACTACTTCAGGAAAAAAAATTAATGATACGAGATACTATAGAGATGTGGATCAATGACTATGATACATAACAAGATTACTATTTAAAATACGTTAGGAATCTGTTCACTAGAACGGTTCGTTTGTTCTTTTCTTACAGGAATTGGTCAAACAAAAACCTTCTTTATATTCTTTGAAATGGCATTGGTTATGCCTTTTGACGATGCCTGGCAGGAGCAGGATGGAGTAGTGCATGCATCTTTGCTGTATTTGATCTCTCTACAGCCTTCAATACCATCAACTATGGTATCCTTCTGGAGTGGCTTTGGGGGTTGGGAGTGGTGGGTACTATGCTGCTCTGTTCAATTCCTTCCTCTGTGATTGATCTCAGTCAGTATTGATAGGAACCAAGAAATCTGACCCTCATCCATGGGCTTCTGCAGACTCATTGGGGTGGGGGGTGAGGCGATGGCTCAGCAGTTAAGACACTGAGCTTGTCAGTTGGAAGGTTGACAGTGTGAGTTCAACCCCCAAGGACCACACAATGGGGTGAACTCACATTACTTGCCCTGGTTCCTGTCAACCCAGCAATTCGAAAGCAAGCAAATACAAGTAGATAAATAGGTACTGCAGTACTTTCTCTGCTTCCCCTCTTCCCTTAGGAAGGTCCCCCATCCTAAGGAGGTCCATCTAGCAGGACCAAGAAGACTTAGGAAATATCATTCCTGCAGAGGTAAGTTTGGCCTACACTCTGACACTCTTTTTTAATGTCCTGAAGACATGGTTCTGCCTACAGGCTTGAGGACCCTAGAATGGTATGTAGCCCATCAAGTGGCTGGTCTGATAGTTGTGGCCAGGGCTGTTGGGAGCCATAAGGATTTATATTGGGATTTTATCTTTGAAAGACACCCAGAGTCACCAAGAGTGAGTTGGACATTACCTAAATGGATGGGTGGATAAATTCTGATATAAGAAAAAATAAAAGTAAGCAACAAACTCATATTTTTGAAGGATCTGAATAGGACTTATATAATATAATAAAAACTGCCAACCAAGAATGTCTATTTACTATGGCTACATTTCAGTTCTGTCTACACTGCCTTTTAGCAATCAATCAGAACATCACCCTAGATCAGTGTTTCTGAACCTTGGCAAATTTTAAGATGTGACGACTTCAAATCCAGTCCATACATCTTAAAGCTACCAAGGTTGAGAAACTGAAGTATTCTCAGTCCCTACACTGAATTCATCTACCTAAGATTGTTACAAGGCTCCTAGCCTGGAAAGATTACAAATTCAACTTGGGATGAGATTCTGTTTGAGAAACAATGGATTTTGTGGTTATGTGGGATTCTTTGGCTCTGATTCTTAGTTATTCTCTAACAGCTGCCTACATTTCAGTCTTGGCAATACATGTTAATCATCTTGTTTCAATGTACAAATGTTTTCCATCTTCACCTGCCCCCTGTCCACCCACATCCTTTTCAAAAAGAAAGTTCCTTAAATAAGAATCTTGTTATGTAAATAAATATTTTACTTTAAAATAGAACTTGGATTTTTTGATGCAGCCTGGAAGAATTTACAGGATAACTAAATATTTCTGACAAATATTTATTTACCTGTTCAGATATTACCACATTGCTATTTATCCAGCAAAGTAAATTTCATTTCATCTCTATAGAAGTCATGTTGGAGCAGGGGGAGGAAGCCACTTTGAGGTAGTGGTTCAGGCATCAGGCTAGAGAAAGGCAGCGCATGAGTTCAAGTCCTGCCTTAGCTATGAATGCTGGCTGGGTGACTTTGGCCCAGTAATTCTTTCTCAGCCCAACCCACCTCACAGGGTTGTTGTTGTGGAAAAATAGGAGGAGGAAGAAAGTGTGTTGGATATATTCACTGCCTTATTTGTAAAAATGATAAAGGTGGGGATACAAATAGTAATAGCACTTAGAATTATACCGCTTCACAGCACTTTTACAGCCTTCTTTAAGCGGTTTACAGAATCAGTGTATTGCCCACAACAATCTGGGTCCTCATTTTACCCACCTTGGAAGGATGGAAGGCTGAGTCAATCTTGAGCCTGGTGAGATTCGATCTGCCAAATTGCAGGCAGCCAGCTGTTAGCAGAAGTAGCCTGCATTATAACCACTGCACCACCATAGCTCTTAAATAAATACTGCAGGAAAAACCTAAAATGTGATAAAGGTGGTCCTCGACTTACAACCACAATTGGGATCAGAATTTCTGTTGCTAAACAAAGCAATTCTTAAGTGAATCTCACAGTCATTAAGCAAATCCAGCTTGCCTCACTGACTGCTTGTCGGAAATTGTTTGAAAAAGTTGTAAATGGCAATCACCTGACCTCAGGATGATGCAACCATCCTAAATACATGCCAGTTGTCAAGCGCCAGAAACCTGATCACATGACTGTGAGAATGCTGCAATCAATGGTCAGAAGTGTGGTCATAAATCACTTTTTGTTAAAGGAATGTTCGTAAGTCATGAACTACCTGTACAATTCTTCAATAGGATGTGTATATATGCTTTTTCCAGTTCCATAAACTATTCCAGAAGGTCTTTATGCAATTAGTCTAAAGTATTTATGTTTCAAACACTGAATATATTTACTTCCGCCCTTAGACTCTAAAAAAGAATTTGTTTATTTGATATCTTTGTCTCTGCATTATTTTTTAATTCCTTGTTTCTGAACAGCTAATTGAAAACACATATTTTGGCTTTGGATTTTACTAAAACATAAGGAATGTAAAACTGGGAAAGAATTTAATTCTCGTTACCAAGGATATGTCTGAGTCGAAGTACATTTTGTAACACAGCGTTTCTCAGCCTATTATTCTACTATTCATAATAATTCCTGAATGTAATTTGTCTAACTATATTTAGAATGTTGAAATGATGAGCTCAGCTTCTATTTAGAGCTATAAAACAGAAAACCTCACTAGCACAAAGTCTTCCCTCTACTTCTGCCTATTAAGAGTTTTTGAATTCTTTGCATCCAGTGAGGCATCATATTCCTCTTTAAAACATACTTGGTCATTAAAAGGAAAACTGAGACTTCATTATTAAGCCAACATGTTTTTAAAGCGAAACTGGTAGATTGGTATATGCGCAGTGACATACCCTACTGAATTTGAACAGCCATGGACCATTCTGCCTAATTCTTTCATGGTTTTTAGATCCTTTATAAGTGTTATTTTATAACTAAGATGGGAATTTATTTTTTTATTTTGGAATCCTAGTTTCACTGAAAGCTGCAGATGCTTATTTTTTATTTTTATTTTTCAAAAAAAAAAAACAGACATCTACCTTGAGAGTTGATTGCTTTTTGTTTACATGTAACCTCAGGATAAGAATTTTGATTTGTTATTTTAAGAGAGGCAATCAATCGCCTCACACTAGAACATCTGAATTCTCCTCATGCCTTTGCT